CCCTTCATCTCACGTCCGTTTTCATTCAAATTAGCTCAGAACCTGCAGTCTCTGTTAGTCTTTTATCTGGTAAATTTCAGCCACTTTTCGTCTTTTCATTATTCTCATTGTCATTCCCACAGCACCACTCTGGTGTCTGTGGACTTAAAATCGGTATTCATTCATTAAACGCTTCTCAAAGGTGTCCACGTACCAACCTGCTTCAACTCCAAACTTTGGGTTAATTCCTGAAAAACTAGTCAGGGAAAATTGGTATCTGACCAAAATTGGTGATTTTAGAATAAATATGGGGATTGGGAGGTAGCAATTCTAAAATAAACCAATGGGGAAAAGATTTAATCAAGGAGTATGGGTCAAATGTATAGCAGTATGTCTCCATGGGTGGAAATACTGTGTAGATGGCAATCCATATAGCTATTAAATAAGATAGTGACAAATGCTACCTTGATCTCTTTCAGGACTCGTAGAGACAACCCTTCATGTTATTGTCTACTTTATTTCCAGGCAACCTGTTGAATTGTCGCAGCAGCAGAGTGCGATGATGATATTCTCTGGGTCTATCCGGATTGCACCATAATTGAAATAATATCAGGTGGAAGAAAGAACTACTACAGAAACAATGTATGGAGATGATGCTCATCCACCAATCTCCACGTGGATATTAAAGACTCTTGTACATATCTGTAAATATTTATTTTATATTTGAAGTCATGAAAAGTGTAGCATGAACCCAGTTGTATCATTGATTTTGTATTGCATTTGAGAAAATGTTTAAGATTAGGACACATCTTGTCTTGAGTTTTGGAATGTTTAAGTTTTCTGTGTACAAAGTTTAAAGTTAAAGATTTTAAAATGCCTTAGGAATATCTGTATAGTGAAAGTGTTAGAGATTTTGGGCTGACTGTCTGAGACTCAGATACTTGCCTGCGAAAGGAATTTGACTTGGGTTGTGTGATCCAATTTGCTGAGGCTCATGGGATCAAAAGGAGGAACCGTGGTCAAGCAGCCAATGGCCTCAACAACTAAGCCCAACATACAATTGGCTAAACAGTTTCTGTAAGAAAGTCCTGATGGAATGCAACAAGGCTAAGGTTACCAGATATTAAAAGCTAACAAGGATCAGCCCAGACCTATATTACATATCGAACAGAGGTGGCTGACCTTAACAATACAGAGTGACATTATGTTTGTGTATGCCCCAGTTTCAGCCAGATCGCTTGGCATCGTGGAACAATCATATCTTGAAAAGTGGAAAGTTACTCCTAGGATGACCTAATCTAACCGCATTGGGTGCTGTGACCTTATTGGCTGAAGTCCGATAACCTTCCAGAAGGGCTTGGAATTGGAGGATACAAAGTGACACCTGTCAGCCATTCCCTCAGCAAAAACTTGGCCAGCGAAGACTCCGTGCGAGACCCACCTATGTACTGGGCATGCAGGGAGTCCCCCAGTGACAAGACCACGCATGAACAGACATTGGATCTACGGGCAATTCTAAGAACTCTCAGAATTCGCTAACGTCAAAGCGGACCTCCTGTTTATTCAGGAGTGCGGGATACCACACCTCAGCAGCGACAGGAAATGGTCGAGCTTGTGGGCCCACAGGCCTTTGATTTGTCTGGGTGGGGAAGGAGGGAAACAATTACCTTTCTCGATCCTACGTATTCTGGTGCAAGGAGGCAACTTCACCATCTCCAAAGTTAATGAGGTGGTGGGCGGGCATGTCCTTATAGCAAACATTATGTACAGAAATGTTCCCCTGAGACTAATTAATGTGTACGCACTGGTGATAAAGAGTGAGCAGCTGGCCATCCTGCAGCAGCTCATACTGCTGCTGGTGACATCCAGGCTGGTTATTCTGGCCAGAGATTTCAACTGCATCATTGATGTGGATGGACGATCTGGAGGGGCTGACAGCACACCAGATGCCACAATCAGATTCCCAGTGGAAACGGTTACAGTTGCTAAGCTGCATAATGTCTTCAGCATTCCCGCAGAGAGTGCAGTGTAGATACACCTGGGTGTGGCCAGACAGCTTTATCTACTCAAGGATAGATTTCCTGTTTGCATTATGTACATTCTCAGTCAGATCTGCCAACATCAAGCTGGTGTTCTCTGACCACTGCCTCCTGCTGGCTGACCGTCACCTACAGGAAGACCAGTGGCCCGGCAAGGATATGTGGAAGCTGTACATGAAACTATTGACCCCAGAAATCATTGAGGAGCTCAAAAGGGATTACAGAGGTCGGAGAACCGTGAAGCCTCTCTTCAAGTCTCCATCGGACTGGTGGGAAACAGTCAAGGGGAACATCGTGAGATTATTTATCCTCTAAGGTGTTCAGAAGGCGAGAGAGAGACAGGGAAAATGGTCCAAACTCCAGAAAAACATGCGGACCCCATTTCTGCTGCAGACGATGGGGGGGTCGATGTGACAGAGGATCTCCAGGTAATGAAGCCTTGTTCTTTTCCTCGAAAGCCTCCAAGATAATCTTCTGGTCCAGGGTCTGTACCGTGGAGTTGGATGAGACTTGCTCACGTTTCTTCTTCCAGAAGGCGCACAAGCAGAGCTCTGTGCTCAGCAGCCTGAATGAAGATGATGGCTTGGTAACGTCGTCTCAGTCTGACATACTGAGGATCAGCAAACCCTATTATGCCAGACTGTATGACATGAAGCTCACGGACACCACGGCCTCCCAGTTGCTCCTGTCCTATCCCGTGGAGGACTCAGATGACAGCACGCAGGACAGGCTGGATCAGCCATTATCTCTGGATGAGCTAACCAAGGCCCTGGACTTCTTAGAAAAGGATAAAACATCCAAAAGCGTGGCTTACCAGCCGAGTTGTATTTAGCTCTGTGGGACTTGATTGACCAGGAATTTTTGAGGATGTACGACAGTATGCTTCTGGTAGGTAGCATGTGCAAAACCATGAAGAGAGATATCATTACCCTAATCCACAAGCAGAAGGGGAGAGGGAGGAAATTAGAATTTGATGATCAATTTTACTGCTGAATGCAGACTACAAAATCCTGTCAAACGTCATCGCCAACCAGATCAGGTCTGCTCTAGGATCAGTGATTCACCCCAATCAAACCTGTGCTGTACCAGTCAGGACAATCGCTGAGAGCCATGCACTCCTTGTGGATACAATCGTCTACATGCAGGAATGTGGGGTGGACTAGGAGAAGGCCTTTGACAGGATGTTGCACACCTACATGTGCTCTCCAAAATGGGCTCTGGGGAGGGAGTTTACAATTGGATCCAACTGTTCTACATCAACATTGTTAGTGCAGTCTCAATCAATGGGTGGGAATCAGAAAGCTTCCTGAACAAATATGGAGTCAGGCAGGGCTGCACACTCTCTTTTGCCTTGTTTCTGTGTTGTATAGAGCTTTTTGCTGAGTCTATTGGGAAGGATGCAAGCCTTAGACAGGTGACTATTCCAGCAGAATTCAGGTCAAAGCCTCTCCGTACATGGATGATGTTGCTGTTTTCTGCTTGTATCCACTGCTAGTACGCAGACTCATGAACATCTGTGACCAGTTTGAGCTGGCCTTGGGAGACAAGGTAACGAGGCAAGGGCGAGGCCATGTTCTTTGCCAACTGGTCTAATCAATCCTTTGTCCCCTTCACAGTCAGGACAGATTACCTGAAGGTGCTGGGAATATGGTTCAGAGAGACCAGGGCGTGTGCAAAATCATGGGCGAAGGTGAGGCACAAACTGATCTTTTGGGAGCACTGCTCCCTCTCCATTGTGGGTAGCCTGGTCATTAAGTGTGAGGTACTGTCTCTGTTGTTATCTGTGGTGCAGGTCTAGCCCATTCCCCAAACCTGCGCCATTGCAGTCACCCGAGCCATCTTCCAATTCATCTGGAGGTCTAAGATGGACCATGTCCACAGGGACACCATGCACAAAACTCTAAATAAGTTGGGGAAGAACGAACCCAACGCCACCTTCATCCTGATGGCCACCTTTGTACGCGGCTGCTTCAAGCTGTGCGTAGACCCTTGGTATGCAAACACCCAATGTCAGTACATACTGAGGTTCTATCTGTCACTTGTTGCGAAGGATGGACTGGCCTTGGTACCATGGAATACTCCAAGTAGTCACCTTTCCTTCGTGAAGAAATTTGCACAGAAAAATACCTTTAAACACAAGTCAATCAAGAAGTGGTCAGTACGTAGCATCCTTGAGACCCTGTGGGAAAAGGAGAGAGTGGGTCCTGTAACGTGGTTCCCTGATCAGACTGTCAAAGTCATTTGGCAGAATGTCTCATCACCAGAACTGTTCAACAAGCACCAAGACATCACTTGGCTGATGGTGAGAAAGGCACTATCTGATGAGATCCTTCTTGTACACCCGGTTTGTTTGTGCCACCCTCAAAGTAGCTGCAAGGGAAACAGACTGTCACACATTTCCTTCTGGAACGTACCTTTGCAAAGAAAGTCTGGAGAGAGATGCAATGATTTGTGTCAAGGTTCGTCCCGAGCAGCTCTGTGACGCTGGACTCTATGGCCTACAGGCTGATCCCTGGGACCAACAACGAGACAAACATTGACTACGCCTGGAGGACCATTAACTCAGTGAAAGACACTCTGGTCTGCCTGAAGCTTTCTGATTTTCCAGAATAAAGAGTTGACCCTGACCTAATGCTGCAGATTGGCACATTCCAAGGTCCAGGATTACGTGCTGAGGGACACACTAAAGCTTGGGGTAGCTGCCACCGAGAGGCAGTGGGGAAAGACCACTGTCTGAAGTCTTTCTGCCAAAGTGTAATGGGGCTCTGTTCCATAATCAGACCCTCCCACTGCCTCAAATATATGTAAATATAATCCTGCAAAAGTAAGAAATGCCTTGGGTTTCTTTGTTGGATAGTCAAACTTGAATGTTTATTTGTTCCTTCATATGCCACTGTACAGAACAAGAACTGCTTCAGTGACTATGTATATATATAAAGATATTTTGAATAAAGTATATTTTTGAAATTTTAAAAAACCCACCTTCATACTAAGAAGACACTGAGTGGCCGGTTGACGGAGCTCAGTGAATTGGATCCAGCAGCCCGATCAAGTTCACCAGAACGGGTAGTATATGTGGTTTTCAGGCAGTCGGCCTAGTTTGGGAAAAGTTAACTTAATTAGTGTAAGAGTTGTTTCTTTAAGTTGCGAGTGTTTTAATAAAACTAAGTTTGAAGTGCAGTCCTTTGTCTGTCTCAAACAGTAAGAGCACTTGGGTAAACGTGTTTTATGAGTAATAAATTGATTGAAGTGTCTATGGAATATTTCACTGGGTCATTGAATATTTGTACGGGAGGAGTTAGGCAAGGAAATCAAAGGTACTGGGCATGGATGGGAATTTGGCAGTCAGAATACCAATACTTCACTCACGATCTCTCTGATCGGCAGGGCAGTTTTGAAGAGCCAAATGGCCCATTTCTATTCCTAATTTGTGTACTTGTATGACCAAACAAAATTTTTATGATATTGATTAAGGAATCAATTCATCTGGGATTTTTTACGTCTACATGAGAGGGCAGACAAGACCTTGCCTTAACATTTCACATGGACGATGGCACCAATGACAATGCCAGTATTGCCAGGCTATATTTTGTGCTCAAATCTCCAGGGTGGGACTTGAATCTATTGTTTCTAGCCCAGAGGTAGGAATGTTATCAATTGAGAGTCTAGGTGATAGTCTAGTACAGAAATAATACTCAGTTTCAACGTAATTCTCTGGAAGGAGTCCAAACAACATCTGATTGGGACAAGTAAGGGAAATAAGGAAACTCAGGGTCGTGTTTTTCATCTAGCAGGGAACTAGGATCCCCTCCAGACACGTGGTCAAAAGATAATGGAAAGAAGTAGTTGTGGGTGTCAAAGCTAGGACTCTAGGCCCAACGACTTGAAAGCAGCAGCACAAAAGCTCAATGGCTTCACACAAGTCAGTGAATGCACCTTCAAACATTATATTCAACAACCACATCACTGGCCTCAGCAATTAGTCAATTCAACCATAAACCTATCACACACCTACTGACAAACTGTATCAATCAGGACTCAGATCTAACATTCATAAGATCTACTTCATCCGCACATACTTTGCAATGCTGCACACTTCACACCACATCTCTGTTCTTGCATGCACTACTAACTAATCAATCATGACAGCCGCATCAGCCAAACTAATTCCATGACTTTCACTGACCCAGTTCCCTCTTTAATGCAGTGCAAGGTGATCTAAGTATTAAGCAGTAATAGGAGAGTGATAAGTGTGTGCAGGTTCTAACCTTGTGGTGAGGGAGACGGCGGTGGCCATTCTTTTAATTAATTTATTCATTTATGGAATATGGCTACTGCTGGCCAGTTTATCCCTGATCGCACTGAAGAGGGTGATGGTAAGCTGCCTTTTTGAACTTGGAGGGTAGATACACCCGCAGAGCTTTTAGGAACGGAATTCCAGGATTTTGACTCAATGATAACTAAGGATTGGTGATACAGTTCCAAGCCAACATGATATATGATTTGGAGGGGACGTCAGGAAGCTGCACTCATCCAGGCAAGTGGACAGTATCCCACAACACTGCACACAATATTGTCCAGATCTTGCTGCATATGGGTATGGATTGCCTTAGTATCTCAGGAGTCATGAATGTTACTGAATGATACAGTCATCAGTGAACATCCCCCCCTCTAACCTTATGATGTAAGGAAAGTCATTGATAAAGCAGCTGAAGATAGTTGAGCCTAGCACGCTACCCTGAGGAACTCCTACAGAGACTTCCTAGGATTAAGATGATTAGCCTCCAACAGCTACAACCATTTTCCTTTTGCTTGGTATGATTCCAACTAGCAGAAATCTGGAATTAAAAAGCTAGCGTTATTAATGGTGACCATGAATCTAACACATTGATTTTTAAAACCCTCTTGGTTTAGGGAAGGAAATCTGTTGTCCTTACCTGGTCTGTTAACTATATATGATACCTGAACATAGCAATATGGTTGCTTCTTAATTTTTTTTGTAAAGGTCTGCGAAACAACTCTGGTATATTCAAAAAAGTGAAGGGTAATTACTATGGTATATAGGTACAGCTGTCCAGTCATTGGATATTGTTCTGCACAATAGATTATCAAAAATCAAAGCGCACAGCAATAGAAGTAACCTTACAATGTAGGTTTTTGATTGGTTTGAGTGCTAGGAAAAATAAAGTAAGGTTAAAGGTAATGTTCTCAAATTGCAATGATGTGAAAAGTTTTGTTCCCCAAATATAACTTTATTAAGTTAGGAGTCAAAATAAGTTATTAGATAGTAGCATGAGTTACACAAGAACATTATTAAATTAAGTGGTAGATGGGATTCAATGTTGGAAATCTGTGGTCAACAACATTGGATAGAAGAAAGCCAATGTTCCTGATGGTGAGAGAATTGGGTCTGTGAATATTGACCAATGATGGTAAGGGAATTATGACATATTTCTGATGGTGGCATTCCTAGGTTCCTATTGCACTTGTCCTCCTAGGTGATGGAAATCATGGGTTTGTAAAGTTCTGTTGAAGAAGCCTTTACTAGTTCCTGTAGATGATACACAGTCCAGCAACAGCTTAACTGTTGAATGGGGTGCCAGACAAGCATTTGCTTTATTCTAGATGGTATTGAGGTTTGTGAACGTTGTTGGAATTGCATCAAATTAGGCAAGATGACAGTATTCCATCACAGCTATCTGTGCTATGCCAACTGTAGAAAGATTTGGGGAGTCGTAAAGTGAATCATTCACAATCTCGCGGAGATTGATAGATATTTGTTAGGTAAGTAGATATTAAGGAGAGGGTAAATGGCATTAAGGTCCAGATCAAAAAACAGAATGGAGCTGCAGCCTTAAGGAACTCTCTAAAATGACTCTTGGTCTTACATTACCTATCTTCAAATTTAAGCACAGAAATCACATGACACTAGGTTATAGTCCAACAGTCCTGAGGCTCTGAAAGCTTGTGTTTTCAAATAAACCTGTTGGACTATGACCTGGTGTCGTGTGATTTCCGATCTTGTCACCCCAGTCCAACACTGGCACCTCCACATCAAATTTAAGTGAATAGTTGAGTGAAATATATTGCTTGCAGATAAAACTTAAAATAAACTGAGTATAAAAAGCATTTTCCTCATACACTGCAGCTACATAAATCTGTTGGAAGTAAATTTCTTAGCAGCATCTCATGTTCTGCTACCATTTTTCTGAAATGTTTTATGTCTAAATGGGTTTTACCATGGATGAGTATCCAGTAAAACACCCATTTTCAGTTAAGCTGGAAGTGAGAAAAATTATAAGGATACTCAATCCATTGTTTTCCTGTCTGTCATGGGTACTTCAGAAAGTATGAGTTCACGCTTCGTTTGTCACTTTTAACCAAAAATAAAGAATTTCAGTTAAATGTTAAAAGATTTTTAAGAAAAACCGAAAGAACTGTGGATGCTGTAAATCCGGAACAAAAATAGAAGTTGCTGGTAAAGCTCAGCAGGTCTGGCAGCATCTGTGAAGAAAAATCAGAGTTAACGTTTCAGGTCCAGTTACCCTTCCTCTAAGAATCACTTTGATGGTTTTCTGCTATTAATATAGTATATACACAAGCCATGGTAGACTTCATGAATGGCCCATCTTGCTGCACATCTTTAAATGTTACATATATCTCTCATTCCAAAATTAGGTATTGCTAGCTTCCTACGAAGAGGTAGCTTCAACTATACTCAGAAAATTTTGTCCCTTAATTGCAAAGTAACACACAGAGTAACATACTTATCTACTACAATTTTTGTTTTTTTTATTTAACTCACAACGTGTTACTTTTGAAAGCCATTAACTTAATTCCTAGGTATAAACTTCTTATTTCAGGAGGTAAGAAAATCTATCAGTAGTATTTCAAATGCAGAAAAGGCAATCATTTAGGTAATTTTAGGATTTTGTGAATTATGCATTTTTAAATGCAATTATGTTAGGAACCTCATTTTCAATTCTATGCCATCAGTTACTGAGGAGGAAAAGTGGTATAAATGACTGTCAACATTTGAGCAGCTTCATTGGTTCTAATTCTCTTGTTCCTACTTATTTTACTGATAGCTAGTCACTCAGCATTGATTGACTGTAGTTCAACAGGTAACTCTCATTCCCATGATTGTTATCCTTTGATTGAAATGTAACCAACATAATCTGTTCAGTTGTTCTTTTCTGAATATGAATATCTCTGAGGAAATCAGGTGCAAGTATCACTGTTACTTGAATGTGTAACAAGATAGATGCTGAAGTGTTTTGAACAGAGATGCTACTACAGCAGTTACCCAGGAAGTAATAATAGCTTTAACAACCTGCAGGTAAACACTTTTTTTTCACTCTTGAGGATCATTGAAATGACTGGGACCACGTAGGAGATTTTTTTATTTTAGCTTACACAGCAGCAAGATTTATCCCTTGTACAAGTAAATCTTTGAATCATATAAGGTGAAAGTGAAGAACATTAACAACAAAATAAAGGCATGAAGAGTTGTGCTTAGTACATCATTTTATTTGTAATACATAACAAGATAAATCATGATGAAATGCATCTTTGAATGACTTGTTGATAGTGGGCATGAAGATACAGAAGTTCTTGCCCAACAATGTCAGTGACCTGACCCCAATTAGCTGGGGAAGGAGCTGAGGTTGGACTCTTAGACACATTACCTGGTCCTGCAGAGTTGGTTGATCTCAGCTAGAGAGATATTACATTGGGCATCAGTGCTGTTTGAAGTGACCAGCGCTGGAAAGGGAGTCCATTGAGTACGATGGCTACGCTGGTGGAATATCCTGTCAGCGTTCACCCGTAAAGTGGTGGGTCAAGGAGTGGAGAGATCGGACTCCTAGCGTGGTCAACTCCAGCAGGGCAGAAAAGGGGTTAACACCAGATAAAAGAGAAAGAAAGAAAGAAAGAAAACAAACAACATACGGTTCTCCTGGCAGAATGTTAAAAAGTTTGTCCGTTGAGTGTCGGCGCCCTGAGCTGGTGGGTGATTGTGGATTGGAGTTTGTGGCGGTGGGCTGCGATGGAGTGACTGCCGATGGAGGTGAGTGGCCCGGTGACCCGAGGGCCGGGCCGGTCCAGGCCTGCCTGGGAGTGTGGCGGGGGGCGGAGGGTGGAGGGTGGAGGGGTGTGTGTGTGTGTGTGAGAGAGGGAGAGGGAGAGTCCGCCAAGCCGCCGCCGCCGGTCCCGGCGCCATCTTGCGGGAAGCCGGGGCCGCTTCGCCCAAAGCCCAGGAAGCGGCCGAGCACACCACAACCCGCACCCCCCTCCCGGCCTCTCTCACTTTACCTCAGCTTCCAGCCTGCCGCACCGTCCTGGGCCATCGCTCGCCGTTAATTCCCCCGGTCCTTTCAGTCTCGGTTATCTGTCACTTGGGGGAGTGAAGTGTTTGTGAGAGATCTTCCTTCTCCACACATTCGGATTGACAGCGGCTCTCCACGGCGGATTAAAATCCAGTTTTGCTCTGACTCTCGTTCTTGATCTTACTCCTGGTTCCTGGTCGATCCGGCTCTGGGCTTCTACTACCCCCGCCCCCGAAACAAAACAGTCAACTTTAACCCCGCGCGCCAAACGATCCGGTGCCGATCCGGAGCGGAGTGTCCAGCAGCCGGAGCCGTGGCCGCCTCCCAACAGGTAACACAGCATCATTGGACAATATTCCTTCAAGATGTACTTTTATTTTCCTTTTCTTCTAAACTCACACATCCCCTTTTGTCCTCCACTTCAAACAATAACTGCCCACAGATTTATATCCTTCAATATTTCACATTATTTGTCAAATGTTTTATTGACACAACAGCTCCCCCCGCCTCCCCGTTTACCCACATAAAACTTGGTCCGATTTTAAAAGTTGGAAACGTTGACTCTCCCCGTTTTCACAACGAAACGAATAAATTCGATTTGTTTCATCGACTTTTAATCGCGAGGAGAGCGGCCATAAAAAAAAATATTCCGTTTCGACGGGAAAAATATTATGTTTAGGGGGCGGGGTTGGGATTTAAATCGATTATTTTTATATTGGCCTCTTCAGATTTCCAATTTTGTTCGGTCGTTTCTAATTATGTTGCGAATTTGCCAAAAATTAGGAGGCATTTTATTCAGGTTGAGTGAGAAAAAGCAAATTCTGTATTGTCTGAACAAATGAATAATTCAGAGGAGAGTGTTACAGAAACAAGAATTACACTTTTTTCGTCATTGTGTTACCTATATAGTATTTATTTTTCATATTCATGTGAATTATGGTTTGTTGAAGTTAAATGTAGTTCAAGTGCTTGTAAGTATAATTTGTTTTGAAATCTACTCCAAGCTTTTGTGAGGGGAAAAAAAAGTATTTGGATAATTTGGCTACTAATCTGGAAGCTGATGCCTTGGTAAATGCTAATAAAATATATTTATTTAGTATTGTGAATAAAAAATAGTTTGGTATGATAAATGTTGCTATTACAACAAAAGTAATTGCAAACAACTTGTTTTGTGCAATTCAGGTCTTAAAGCTTTTTGCAATTAGTGATAGAAATCAGATCTCAGGAAGAGAATGGTAGTAGGCTTTGTTTGTGCTTATGGTTAATAAGACTAATTCTACTCCTTGACATATGAAGGGGTTTCCTAAATTTGCTGCCACCTTGAAGTCTGGGGTCTTTAAGCAACTCAATAGTCACCGTGGAGCCATTGCTGTAAGATAGCCACTGAGAAATCCAATAGGGAATTCAGACAAAATCACTTGTAAAAATCAGTAATAGTTGAAGCAAGTAATATAGATGTATTTAAAGGGGGGGGGGGGGCAAAGTGAATAGTGGGTTACAGTGGTGGCTTTATACATTTAAAATGCAACGTAATCATTGGCACAGACTGGTTGGGTTGAATGGCCAGTTTCTCTGCTGTGTATCCTACAGTGTGTAATATCAATAAACATCTGCAAATGTAAAACAGCTGAACGGCTCATAGGTTGTCTAGTATCCATTTATTCAATAATTTTCTGACTTCTACCCCCTTTATTAAAAAATGGTTTGAAGTTATAGTATGTAGGTCTAAAATTCTATTTCAAAATCTGAATTTGTTGTGAGATTGTGGGTAATTTGAGGAATGTTTGAATTGGTTTTCTAAAATAGCTTTGAACTGTTTTGCAAAACAAGTTTAAAATAAAATACTGGGTGAGAAATTCCTATCTTGCTGATTTGATAGGAAATGACAAGCTTATCTTGCATTTTTTTATTGTGCATTTTATAGATTTGGCATTGTCACTTAATTGGATATATGACTTTCTGGAATTAACTGGTGTATTTTTGCATGTTTTGTGTTTTAATTGCACATCTAAATGGCTCAGGTTGGAAGTATTTAATAGTTACATTTTGTAAAAATAGATGTTCTGTGCCAGAAGAACATTAACTTGTAGAGCAGTTAAAATGATCACCTTGCCCCTGGCTGAGGGAGGGGAAAAATCAACTAAGGATGCTGGGGACATCAGATGTTTGGCTAGGACAGACTCAATCTTGATTTAATCTTCGCTATCATGCCTTTTATTTTTGAGTATCTTCTCATCAACCTCACTTTAATATATTAAGAATAGTAAGCTGAATGGGTTATTGTAACATAACTGGTACCCATGGAACCTTAACCCTTTCTGGAGAGGAATAGCACAATGATCAAGTCAGTAGCAGGCAAAATGCAAAAAGTAATAATGGGATTGAGGGTTGTTAAATTAATTGTTCTGTCGAAAAGCTGATCTAGTCACACTTGCACCTTCATCACTTGTTCTTGCATTATGCTATCAACATACCTTCCTTGTAATATCACTGTTTTTGTAAGTCACAAGGAAAACAATTCCTTTTAAAAGTTGTGAAACATAAGGAGTTGTGTATAAATTGTGCAATGAAAGCAGTTGAAAGCATGTTTGGCAGCTCTTATTTTTCCAGAAAATAATAGACTTGTGTCAAAGGGCCAGTGTCTTATACACAATATTTAAAGTCCCTTAATCTTTATCTTCAGATGTAACAGAAAAGTGTTATAAACGATTGCTATCTTGCATCATGTCAGTGTTTTTTGGTGTGTTTAATGTATTTAAATCCATGTATTATTTAAAAATTCTCCTGTTAATATACTTTAATGCTGAGAGGTTACTCTTCATTCTCATCCTCTTGATTCACAACTTCAAGTTGTTTTTTTCATTACCACACTAGTACTTTGAACTACTGTTATCTTGTCCTCTCCTTCAGCACGACCCTGGCTTGGAAGGACAAATGTTATAAACTAAAGCTGTTTTCATGTTGTGTGTAGCAGCTTTTAGTGTCACTGACTCTGAATGTGTGGATCTTGCTCAGCTGTTGGCAACTCTTAAAGTAACCTTACTGGATTCTTTATGGGCATTGCCAAGAATTCCCTGCTAAATGAAGTCGTTTTAAGGCTGACTTTGTGTTGTTAGCAGTGTGTAGGAGTCAGTATAGTTACTCTTGTTATGTAATGAAATATGGCATCCAAAGAACATAGCAAGAACCGACACCAATGAGATCAATGACCAGTTAACCTCAGAATAACAGAATTGTTACAGCGCAGGAGGAAGCTATTTGGCATGAGAAAGTATTATGTCATGTGGCCCTTGCCTTTTTTTAAAATCAGTTACTTTAAATCTATGCTCCCCTTGTTCTTCAACCCTTCGCGTATGTGAACAGTTTCTCCCTGTCTGCTCTGTTCAAATGCTTTTTGTTAAACATAAACTGAAAGAACTGCAGATACTGGAAATCAGAAATCAGAAACAGAAACATAAATTGCTGGAAAAGCTTGGCTGAGCTTTTCCAGCAATTTATGTCTCTCTGTTTTTGTTGTTAATTTAGGAACACATTCAGGCTAGGGACTGCGATAAATAGCTCTTCCAGCAGTACCGAGGGAATTTTTACGTTTTTTACTTGGAAAAAGCTGATGGGGCCTGAATGATGCCTCACTTAGTCCCTCTGTTCTACTTTAGTCTAGGTTATTTGTTCACCTCATGGAGTGGGACTTGAACCCAACCTTTTGACTCAAATTTCAGAATGCTGCCACTGATCCCAGCTAATGTAAAGTTTATTTGACCGTACCCAGGCTTTGTTTTTTTTATCTCAAGAAGTAAAGTGGGACTTGAATCCAGAGATTGACCATGTCCATTAATTGTTATACACATTTCAATCAGCTGATACTAACTGATCTTGTTTAGTTTGAGGGCTTATCTAACGATAAGGCACGACTGCTAAGAGTAACCTGAAAATCTTCAGTTCTATGAAATTCAAATGAGAGAAATGAGTGATTAAGTATGAATACAAATGGAATTATCTGAACTTCAGTTAGATTGTCAAGCCCTGTGGACTATATGTAGCTTACAGTTTGTAATTTAAACACACCTGCATTAAAGTAAGTATAGAATTTTTCAGTACCATGTGAAAGAGGACTGTTTGGAGAAATGCCTTTTTAAAGCACAGAGTGAGCTGGAGTAGAAAATTATGCTGTCTTAATTTTCACATAGACTGGAAAGAAAAATGTCTAGTAAAGGAGTACATTTGGTACTAATTAATAAATATTTCAAGGAAACATTGACCATGGATTACTGTTAAAGGAGCAAAATGAAAACCAGCTTAGCACTGATGTATGACATTTCATTTGAGAAAGTGATGTCTGACCAATCCGCATGTAAAATGTCTCTTAACTGCAACCTTTCCTAATACATGAAGAAAATTAATTATTTCTTTATTAAATGACGAACCTTCAATTATAGTAATAATGATGAGTTTCCTTCTGTTATATTGGTGACTTTTTATTGAAGTAGTTTGGTAAAATAATTTCTTGCTGCCTAGCCCATAGGGCTGGAGGACTGGTTCGAATAAAGCCCATGATAGGGCAATAAAGTGATTTTTGATCTTAAAAATGCCCAACCTTCATATTCAATAGCTATTCCTCTAGAAACACAACCGATTTAAAGTCTGAAGTGATTAATTCATGAAATTGCATTTATATTATTTATCATCTGTTGCATAGATATCCCCCTATTTAATGTGCATTCTAAAGTGTATTTTCATTTTAGTGCAGTATATAAATTAGGAAACATAGTTGAACAGTGCTGCCCTCCACTTTGTTTTAGCATGATCCCGTGACACATTTTCTTTCTTATTCCTACCCGCAATTTATTTTATTCATCCATAAGGTATGAATGGCACTGATAAGGCCGCCATTTATTGTCCATCCTTAATTGCCCAAAAGGACAGGTGAGAGTTAACCACATTGCTGTGGGTCTGAAGTCAAATGTACGCCAGACCAGGTAAGGATGGCAGTTTCTTTCCCCAAATGACATCAGTGAATCAGCCGGGTTATTCGAGCAATCAACAATGGTTTCAATGATCATCATTAAAATCTTAATTCCAAATTTTTATTGAATTCAAATTCCACTGTTTGATCATCATCTTGAAAGTTATTGGAAAAGGCATTTCAACAGAAGCCTTCAAACAAAAGAAAATGACTGCTTTGTGAGGCAGATTGTGCTAAGGAAAAAAACTTTGAATGGGCTGGGAGATGAGATAGGAGGCATCGTCAAACATTAAGGTATGAGAAGGTTTAGAC